ATTGTATTTGGTTTAAACTTAATGTAGTGATCACTGGGGTCAGGGAAGTGGCTGGTGAGCGGACAATATCCTGGAGTGGGGACACCCTAGCCCCTGCACTAAGTGACCATGACAAGACGGGGCTTAAGTCTCCCTGGAATCCTGGACCCAGCTTTATCAGGGTTACGAGGATTGCCGCATGGTAGAGTGGAAGAGGAGTTCTCAAGGTCAGGTAGGTATCCAGGTAAAGGGAATTGGAGCGAGGACTCAGATCCTTTTGCTATCTGATTCCACCGGGGTAGTACAGAAGCCAGGAAAGTTCCCCACAATAGCAGGACCATTTTGCTGCTTACAAATGTCCTGCGTCCCAGCCTAATGCCTTAATCACAGGAGCATTCTTCCTGCACAGCTATGATATGCAAACTCTAAACAGGGTCACACAACTGGCCAGCACAACTTCTGAGGCAGTTCACTTGTTGGGAAGAAAGTTGATGCAATCAAAGTCTGAAGAAGCTCTTTGTAAATCAGAAACAGAACAACCATCCCCAAGATGGGGTATTTTTCTGTATATTTCAAGACCCTGTGCTGCTTGCTTGTGGCACTATATAGGGCTACATAAACTGGGAACATGGTTTGTGTGTATTCCATGCTGGAAATAAATCTGAATTTCTAACTCTGCTTTCTCTTCTAATATTTAAACCCCTGGGTTTGGCAAATTTGTCTTTTGCTGACTGCAGAGAAATCCGTCAGGATTGCTGTGTCACCGCTCCGAATCCATCCTCTGCCTACTTTTTGGAGAGTTGATGCAGTTTTGCAGCGCTCTCCAGTTGGCAAACACAGACTATTTTATCTTCGTATCCACTCTCTTGTCACTGCTACTTAATCTTGCATTAAAGAAATGCAGTTCTCTGCCCCCTCAAATAAGCTATCACATCATGGGCCTCAGTCTCTGTAGTCCAGACAGAACGAGTCTCAAACATGTGAATGAAATAATCAGCTGATCATTCTGTTTTTTATCCCCCTTCAATAGATGTACCAGTTTGGACACTTTGTGGTCTCTTGCTGCTCCCCATAAAGGGCCTGCACTTACAATACGCCAAAGGTCCTTGACCCCTCTTGAAAAACAGTAATAGATAAATAAATATTGGTAATAACAAGGACCAGCCATAATGCACGTAAGGCACTTTTAGATCCTTGGAAAAGCGCCGTAGAAATATACAGAGTATTATTACTGTATTATTAATTAACTCAATTATTGGTATAACAGCATTGTTTCATACACAGAACCAGCAAGATGCACACACTGCAATCCAAAGCAATTATGTTATTATCATCCTACCTCCTCTCCTCTGGAACACACTGTCTGTTGTATCTTATGTAGGGACTGTGTCGTTTATTGGTACATGCACACTTATAATAGCACTTTTTAAAAAAAAATATTCTCACAGGGCTCAGCGGGAAGTAAACACGACCAGTTTTGAAAATCACTAGACTGTCTTGAATTTTGCACATTGCTATTTTGATCTTAGGCCAGGTCTACATTACAGACCTATAACAGTCTGACCGCGTCGCTCAGGGGTAAAATCCACCCCCCTGAGCGATGTAGTTATACCGATCTAATTCCTGTGTAGACAGCGCTATGGGGATGGGAGAACATCTCCCGTCGCCACAGCTACAGCCTCTCGGGGGGGTGGACTGACTACGCCGACAGGAAAAGCTCTCCCGTTGACGTCATAGCAGTGTCTTCACGAAAGTGCTACAGTGGCGCAGCTGCACCTGTATGTGAAGACAAGCCCTTAATCTGAACTTTTTGTGGGACAAAAAAAGAACAGCAAAAAACAGAGTGTGTCACCAGATCAGAGGCATTTGCACACTGCAAGCAGGACAGCAGCCTTTTCTTATCAGTGCATTTTTATGGCCTTTTTCCCAAAGGGATTTTCTGCAAAGGCCGCACCAATAAATGATTTATCAATGCAGCAAAAGATCAAGGAAACAGCTCTGCTTGTGGTTTGGCGCTGTAATATCTTGAAGTTTATGGAGGCTTAGGTGGCCTCTCAGCCCTTTTAAAACTTTTCTGGCAGGGCTATCAGTGCAGCATTACATTTCTGAAAAAGCAGCAGGCTTGACAACTCCTTGTTAAAATGAAATGTCGTTTAAAGGCCCTATCAAGAAAATCTATCCTTATAACTCACTTCTTCCGTGAAGCCGTCCAGTGCTAGCCCACTTCAGTAAAACTGCTGTCACATACCTAATAAAAAAACAAACAAACAAAAAATCTAGTTATGCACTAAGACAGAGCTATTCCATGGGTCACCAAGTGCATCGTGTACCTGAATTGGATTGTCAAGCCATTTAGATTGTAAATGCCCCCGGAGCCGGGGCTGTGTTTTACTATGCTTTGTACGGAACTGAGCACACCGTCAGCACTTTAATAATAATGTAGTTAATTTTATTTTTATGATGTTTCTGGTGGCATTCACCATGTGCTAAGCACAGGCAAACACAAAGGAAGGCACGTTCCCTTCCCCAAAGAATTTACACTGTTTTTATGAGTAACTCATAACACCTACAATGATCAAAACTGAACTGACTCTTCTTCTTTCACGCAAACTGTTTGCTTTTTTGCACCTCTATCAGCCTGGAATGGTTGGTTTTGCTTTAGGGCCATCCTATATCTGCAGTGGTGTCATGGGCCAGTAAAACCACTTTTCAAGGGAGGAAATTAATTCTCCACCTAGGGTGGTGACCAGGTGTCCGGTTGGCAGTGCTGCTCCCTGCTAGCCTCCGCGACGTGTGGCTCCCAGGCAGAAGCCGGCATGTCCCCGTCCGGCTCGACACATAGGGGCAGCCAGCAGGCTCTGCACGCTGTCCCGCCCGTGCAGCTCCCATTGGCTGGGAACCGTGGCCAATGGGAGCTGTGGGGATGGGGCCTGCGGACAGGGCAGGGTGCTGAGCTGCCTGGCCGTGCCTCCATGTAGGAGCTGGAGAGGGGACATGCCACTGTTTCCAGGAGCTGCTTGAGATAAGCGCCGCTCAGAGCCTGCACCCCTGACCCCCTCCTGGGCCCCAACCCCAATACCCCTCCCACCCTCCAAACCCCTCAATCCCAGCCCACCCCAGAGCCCGCACCCCCAGCCAGAGCCCTCACTCCCCTCCCATGCCCCAACCCTCTGCCCCAGCCCTGATTCCCCTCTCGCCCTCTGAACCCCTCGGTCCCAGCCTGGAGCACCCTCGTACACCCCAAACCCCTCAACCCTGGCCCCACCCCAGAGCCCGCACCTCCCAACCCCTCTTGCATTCCAACCCACTGCCTCAGCCTGGAGCCTCCTCCCGCACTCTGAACTCATTTCTGGCCCCATCCCGGAGCCTGCACCCCCAGCCAGAGCCCTCAGCCCCTCCCGCACCCCAGGTCCCTGAGCCAGCCCAGTGAAAATGAGTGAGTGAGGGTGGGGGGAGAGCAAGAGACAGAGGGAGGGGGCCTCAGAGAAGGGGCGGGGCAGGGGGTGGGGTAAGAGTCTTCAGTTTTGTGTGAGTAGGAAGCTGGCAACCCTACCTCCACTTGATGACATGAAAACCTTTTGAAATTGTTTCTCATCACTTGTTTTCTTGAAGAGTTTCACAGAATCTAATACAGGTCTGGGGTTTGCTGTTCAGGTTTGCAAGCAGGCACTTGCAGGCTGACGTGCCAACCTCACTAACTAGGGAGAGAGCTATTGGTTCTCAAGCTATTGTACCGGTGACCCCTTTCACACAGCAAGCCTCTGGGTGTGACCCCCCTTATACATTAAAAACACTTGTTTATATATTGAACACCATTATAAATGCTGGAGGTGAAGCAGGGTTTGGGGTGGAGGCTGACAGCTCGTGACCCCCCCCATGTAATAACCTTCCGACCCCCTGAGGGGTCCCGACCCCCAGTTTGAGAATCACTGGTCTAGAGGGTGTCCTAGCCATGATCTGGGAGGGCTGTGGGGCAACAACAGCACAAGGACTGGTGGGGAGAAGACTGGAGCCAGGGGAGGAGCTCGCAGGTATGGCATTAAACCTGTGTGTGTGTTTGGTGAGTGGGTGGGGGGTAACTGGAGTCCAGCAGGCCAGGAGCTTGGGGAGAGGGGACCAGGGGATAGCCAGGGCCCAGGGATGAAGTGGGCAGGATACCGGCAGAGGATGAGGAGCCAGGATCGGGACTAGGCCCAAGTATGGGAGGAGCAGGGAGGAGGAGAACTCAGGATCGGGACTGGGACCAGGGCCAAGGAGGGGGATGAGATGAGGAACCGAGCCAGGATCAGGGCCAGGGTACGAGGAGCCAGGATCGGGGGCCGGGAGCCAGGATCGGGGCCAGGGCACGAGGAGCCAGGATCAGGGCCAGGGCACGAGGAGCCAGGATCGGGGGCCGGGAGCCAGGATCGGGGCCAGGGCACGAGGAGCCAGGATCAGGGCCAGGGCACGAGGAGCCAGGGCCGGGGGCCAGGATCGGGGCCAGGGCACGAGGAGCCAGGGCCGGGGGCCAGGATCGGGGCCAGGGCACGAGGAGCCAGGATCAGGGCCAGGGCACGAGAAGCCAGGGCCGGGGGCCAGGATCGGGGCCAGGGCACGAGGAGCCAGGGCCGGGGGCCAGGATCGGGGCCAGGGCACGAGGAGCCAGGGCCGGGGGCCAGGATCGGGGCCAGGACACGAGGAGCCAGGGCCGGGGGCCAGGATCGGGGCCAGGGCACGAGGAGCCAGGATCAGGGCCAGGGCACGAGAAGCCAGGGCCGGGGGCCAGGATCGGGGCCAGGGCACGAGGAGCCAGGGCCGGGGGCCAGGATCGGGGCCAGGACACGAGGAGCCACGGCCGGGGCCACGGCCGGGGGCCAGGATCGGGGCCGGGACTCGAGGGAGGCGGGGGCGGAGGGGCGCGCCAGGCTCGGCCGGGGCGGGGCCTTACCCCGGGAGGGGCGCGGGGCGGCCCCCTGCGGAAGCCCCGCCCCTTCCTGCCCGGCGCGCGGCTCGCTGGGAGATGTAGTTGGCGAGGCGGCCTCCGCGGGCAGGGGAAGGGAGGGGCGGGGCGGTCGCGCGGTCACGTGATGTTTGGGTTGTCCCCGGCGCTGCCCGCACAATTGCAGGTGAGCTGCGTGCGGCGGGGGGCGCCCGGCCTCGGGGCGGGGTCCCGCGTGCAGACGGATGGCGGGGGATCTCTGGGGGCCCCCCTGCAGGGAGAGCAGGGTGTGTGGGGGTCGGGATCCTGGTTCCCCCTGGGGAGAGAAGGGGTCGGTGGGTGGGTCAGGGCCTGCAGGGCCCCCCTGGGGAGAGAAGGGGGGGTGTAGGTGTGGGTGGGTCAGGGCCTGCGGGGGTCCCCCGGGGAGAGAAGAGGGGGTGTAGGTGTGGGTGGTTCAGGGCCTGCGGGGTCCCCCCGGGGAGAGAAGAGGGGGTGTAGGTGTGGGTGGTTCAGGGCCTGCGGGGTCCCCCTGGGGAGAGAAGAGGGGGTGTAGGTGTGGGTGGGTCCAGGGCCTGCGGGGTCCCCCCGGGGAGAGAAGAGGGGGTGTAGGTGTGGGTGGGTCCAGGGCCTGCGGGGTCCCCCCGGGGAGAGAAGAGGGGGTGTGGGTGGTTCAGGGCCTGCGGGGTCCCCCTGGGGAGAGAAGAGGGGGTGTAGGTGTGGGTGGTTCAGGGCCTGTGGGGTCCCCCTGGGGAGAGAGGAGGGGGTGTGGGTGGGTCCAGGGCCTGCGGGGTCCCCCTGGGGAGAGAAGAGGGGGTGTAGGTGGAGGACCTGGGGGGGGTCCCCATGCAGAGAGAAGGGGTGTGTGGCTGGCTGGAGGACTGGGGGTGGGGGCAAGGTGTCCCCATGCGGAGAGAAGGCGGGTATGTGTCTGGGTCAGGGGCATGGGTTGTCATTTTCTCCCTTTGCAGCAGAACGCCTCATTGTTTTTAAGGGTATCTGTGTATTTCTCCAGTGCCCGAGCCTGGTCTCTCTCGGGAGCCTTCTGCAAACGAGGAGGGTGCAGCTATTAGGGACCTGAGCTCCCTCTGGGACACCTGTCCAGTAGGAGAGTCTGAGGTCCGGGTGGCTTCCCTTCATCTCCCCCGGTTGGTCCCCACATAGTGAGGGGGAGAAACATGCAGAGGGGAGCTGGCTCACTAGCTTGACCTTTGCAGACCTATTCATGTGCCTCCCCCTGAGGCATTTCACTGAGGGTGTGTGAATGAATACCAGCAGTTTGAGCTCTCCCATCTCTCCTGGGGGTGCCCCACAGAGAGTGGGAGGTGGGTAGGTGTCAGTTTTACCCATGTCTCCTCGTGGAGTGCTCCCTCCAGAGAACTGCCTGCAGATGTCACAGCTGAGCTCTCCTCTCAACTTCTCCTGGGGTGCATCTGCAGAGAGTGTGTGTCTTGTACGGTGGCAGTTACCTGAACTCCCCTTCCCCTGTGTCCTTCCAGATCAGAGTGTTTTTCATGCATAGCAACCACAGGATTTTGTTTTCAAATGGCTTGGGGGAAACACATTCATGGTACACCTAAGTAGATGGATACATTTTCCCCCTCTAGCTGGAAATGTCACTTTGAAGCTGTTTCCTAATGCTTTTTTTAATGAAAACAGTGAAAGTTGGATAATACATAACCTCTCTCTGATATAGCAACCTTGGATGATAGTCAGTTCTGACCATTGTTAAATAAAAGGTTTTGCTCACTTATGTCACTCGTGGATATGATATGGTGATTGTTGTCTTGGTGACTAGTACCTGGTATTACATGGCATGTTTTTAAAATGGCATTTATCACCTCTAGGAAGGTGTTACTAGCAACACCTCTATCAGAATCCAATAATGCAAGCAAAACTTCTTACAACTTTTTTCAGGTTTAGAAAGCATCACTTTCTACACAGCGCTTGAGTGATATAGAGCAGGTTTTTTCTGTATATTTTTAAATTTCCAAAGAGCTAAATGTCTTTATAAATGCACATAAAACTAGATTCATAGTATAAATATCAATCAAAATCAAACATTTAAAGGGATGCTGTCAGGAAATATAGGTCCCATCTGTGTCTTGGTTTATAAAATATATCAAAAATAGTTTCTGAAACAGCAAAAATGTTTTCACAAATGATTTCACAACATCAACTGAAAACCACTTGTTTGAATTTCAAATAGTCTCCTACAGCGTTTACAACCCAGTATTTGCACGTGCTTAACTTTAAGCATGTGAATATGTCACTACCTGCATGTGTAAAGTTAAGTAGGGATGTAAATGTTTGTGTGATCAAGACAAAATGTTGAAAAGCAAGCTAGATTTTAAATGTTCCGCCCTCGTTTCAACTAGTAGTGGTGACAAAGGTAAGACTCATCCTTTAAAACTATATTTACCCTGGTAGTGACCCTTTTAATTAAGCTGGTATTTTTCTTAGTCATGAGGGCAGTAAGGTATTGAGTGGCATATTATCCCTCTTGAGCTTTTTATTGGGTTGATTAATGATGACTCAGCCCCAGCCTACGTCTCTGACTTTTAATCTTATAGCATTTCTCCTCTGCTCAGTCACTGACTCCAGCCTTGATGTCCTCTTTGTTTTCGTTTCCCGCTCTTGGCTCTGACTTCTTCAGTGATGACACCTACATGCAGAACGCCTTCCCTGTGCCTGCTAACCAAGCAATAAATGTCTCTCATCATTCCCTCCTAAAAACTCAGTTCTTCCACACCACCTACAAGCAGTGAGTTAATGTAAAGAAAACCCCAAATGTGGCTTTAATGGAAGTACAGAGACTTGTGCCCAGCGTAACTGCAACCAGGTTATCTTAGCACTGCTGTAACCCTGCAACCCTTGATGTTACACTCTTCAGTGTCATGTTGTGAAATGAGATCGTAGGGCATATGTCTTCTTCTTGGCTCTGCAAAGCGTGTAGCAAATTTTTGGGTGCTGTATAAATATGATGTATAATTTTGAGCTCTGCGTCTGCAAGCTACTCTGCCTGTGTTTAGGCGGATGCTACTGACTTAAGTAAAGCTATGTGTTAGTGTAAAAGTGTGTCCAGGCAGAACAGCTTGCAGGATTGGGGCCCTATTTTACAGGAGTGTGTCTGCTCTGAACTCAGCATTCTTAACAGTGGTTGGTATCACTGTTAGAGAACCCATTGGTAAATACTAGTAAAAACTTGAATCCAGGATATGGGCTGTAAAGTTAGAGGCTGAATGGAGGATGATAGACCCGTACTAGCATCTATATAGCATCCATTATTGCAGTCCCTATGTAGGCAAATTCCCACTGAAGTCATCTCTGGGATTTTTTTGTGTGGATAGCAGTTGTAGAAATAGAGCCTGAAAAATGATTCCCTTTAGAACACATACTTGCAGCGTTCCTAGAGAGAGAGTTTTTTATATGTATCTATGTTACCATAATGTGAAGTTTGCAAAATCAAGCTTTCAGAAGTTAAAAGATGCCAGACTTTATGCCCAGGCTGCCTCATTTCTGCCTCTTTGTGTGTACGCATTATAATGGTTACTTACACAAGGTTTATTTTAAAGAAAAAGGCAAAACCAAATTCTGACAGCAGCAGTAGGCTGTTAACCTGTGTCAACAAGCTACTAGAGGAGGCTACCTAACACAATCAGAGAGTGTTAAGAATGCATGAACAGCCCCTTTTTACGGACAGCATTGCTAAGAACGTACATTTGGCAGATTCTTTCTGAGAGGCAGCGTGGCTAAATGCATCAGACTTGGGACTTCTGTATCAGAGATTTGTGTTCTGTTGCCAGTTTGTGTAATCTTTCAGTGGGGTACTAGGCCCTACTCAGTTCTAAATGTTGTGCAGGGCACTAATTAACAGAGGTGAGTGTAGAACTCATGGCTTCTTGATTCCCAGGCCAATGTACCCCAGCGGCCAATGGGTATTGGGAGGAAGATCTATTTTGTGGTCCATCCAGTGGAGTACTTTGCATTTGTCCTTACTGAATTTCATCCTGTTTACTTCAGACCATTTCTCCAGTTTTCCAGCTCATTTTGAGTGATAATCCTATCCTCTCTAAAGCACTTGCAACCCCTCCCAGCTTGGTATCATCCGCAAACTTTATAAGTGTACTCTCTATGCCATTATCTAAATCATTGATGAAGATATTGAATAGATTAAAATAGAAAGAACTATAAAAATCTTTTTTTTTTAAAAAAAATCCTTTCTGCTCTCTGACTTTCTATGCTTCACTTAGCTTGGGGAGTGAACCTAGCTGAATCACTTTCACTTGGTTTCCCATGCATAGGGGATTGTCAGCAGGGACATATGTAAATCTACAAACTTTTAACTGATTTAAAAAAATCATAAAACATTTGTTCTTATTTTGAGTGAAATTCACCTCAGTGCAGTGTGTCCGCATGAGGCCCTTGGCACCACTTAAATTGCAAATCTCTTAATTTAAAACTTTAATTTGCCTGGAGCTCTGATTTTACAATGAGTTCAGCTCCGAGTGGCATATGTGGCAGTGGGAGCTCCAGGCAGGCACAGGAGACTATCTTCATCCAGTTTATATAGGATTGGGGTTTTAGTTGGTAAGGAGAGCATTGTGCAGCCATTCTGCATCAGGGTGAGTTTGGCTCATAAAGTTCCTGATCCAGCATTGGGATTCACAGTTGCAGACCCATATGACTGCAGGACCCTACACAGGCTCTGGGAACTTCAATTATGTGTGGATTGTTTCGTCCAACTCGTGATTCAAGCACATGTGTAAAGTTTAGCATGTGCTTAACTGCTTTTCAGAACTGAAGTCTTAATATTTGTGTCTAACCTATAGTACTTGACAGTATCTGTTGTGGTGACATTACATGTTATCAATGTTCTCTCTAATTTTTTACATCCATGTATGGAATGAATTTTGTTATGTGCACCAATATGGAAGTGACGTGTGGTGGGGGTTGGTCAAGGGGTTCGGAGTGTGGGAGGGGGCGGAGGGCTGGGGCAGAGGGTTGGGGTGTGGGGGAGTGAGGGCTCTGGCTGGGGGTGCAGGCTCTGGGGTGGGGCCGGGGATGAGGGGTTTGGGATGCAGGCTGCGGCGGGGAGAGAGGACTCCCCCCAGCCCTCTCTTGCCACAGCAGTTTGGGGCTGGGTGAGAGTCGCCTCTCCCCGGTCACGGCAGCTCTGGCTGGGCTGGG